AAGCAACACTAACAGCTTTATGCTGTCTAAGAAACACACCTTAGATTCAAAGACACAAATGCGTTGCAAATAAAAAGATGGGAAAAGATGCACAATGTAAAGAGTTATCATAAGATTGTTTATCAGACAAACTAGACTTTGACAAGAAGCACTACTTAAGACAAATAGAGGCATTTTTGATAATGATAAAAAGGTCAATACATCTGAAAGATATAACAATCCTAAATTGTATATACATCTAACAACAACTCCAAAATGCATGAAGCAAGACTGTGAAAAGAGAAATACAATTTGTACAATATTAATTAGAGTTTTCAAAACCTCATTCTCAATACTTGATAGAACAACTTGCTAGACAGCAAATCAGAAAGGAGATAGAAGACTCCAAAAACGTTATCAATCAACTTCACTTAACTAACATATATAGAAAATTCTACCCAGTGACTGCAGAATACACATTCTATTTAAACGTGTGAGGCATTCTCTAGGTTATACCATATACTGGGCTATAAAACTGGTCTCAGTAGACTACAAAAGGTTGAAATTCTGGAACAGAAAGAAATCTTAAAAAATTATAAATATTTGTCAATTAAACAATGCTTTTCTAATAACACAAGGGAAATTTTAAAATATTTAAATGAATACAAACAGAAAGACAACTTAGAATTTATGTGTGCAGCTCAAGCAGTACTTCAGGGGAGACGTATACCTTTAAATGTGTGTAAAAGAAACCAAAAAATTCTCAAATCAGTACCTGAGCTTCCATCTTAGAGAAAAAAGAGCAAACCAGACCAAAACCAAGCAGAGGAAAGAGACAATACAGAATGTAGCAGAAACCAATGAAACAAAAATATGAGAGGAAAATAAATGAAACTAAAAGTTGGTTCTTTGAAGAGATCAACGAAGTTGACAAACTTAGCCATACTGACCAAGTCAAAAAGAAGACACAGATTTTCAAAATCAATGGTGAAAGGGGTGACATTAATACCAACCTTACAGACCTTAAAAGTATTATAAAGGAATATTTTGATCAACTGATGTCATCAATTTAGAAACTAAGATGTAGTGGATGATAAATTTCTAGAAAGACACAAATTATTAGAAAGAAACAAATTACCCAAACTGATTAAGGAACAAATAGAAAATAGGAATAGACTTGTAATAAGTGAAGAAATTGAATGCGCAATTAAAAATCTTTCCAAAAAGAAAATCCCTATATCATATTCGGTGAATTCTAATCAAATATTCAAAGAAGAAATAATGTTAATACTTCACACGCTCTTTCAGTAAGTAGAAGAGAATGGAACACTTCTCGATTTATTAGGCCATAGTTATCTGATTTCAAAGCCAGGCAAAGACATCTCAAGAAAATAAAATTGCAAATCAATATATTCCTTGATATTAGCAAACCAAATCCAACAATATATAGAAAGGATTGAACACCACAAGCAAGTGGGATTTGTCCCAGGAATGCAAAGTTGGTTTGAGATCTGAAATTCAACTAATGTAATAAGCTATAGTAATAAAATAAAGAACAAAATCACATAATCATCTCAGTAGAGTCAGAGAGAGCATGTTCCAAACTCCAGTATCAATTCATGGGGGAAAAAATCAACAAACCAGGAATTTAAATTAAAAAAATTAAAAAAAAAAGGCGTTCTCTACTTGATAAAGGACATTTATGAAGAGCCTACAGATAATATATTTAATAGTGAAAGCTGGAATGCTTTCCTCTTAAGATCAGGGACAAGGCAATAATGTCCACTGTCACCTTGTCATTACTTCTGTTCAGTAGTGTACAAGAGGTTCTCTAATCAGTGCAATCAGGCAAGAAAAATAAATAAAATACTCAAATTGTGAAGGAAGTTGTAAAACTGCCTTTATTCACAGGTAACATGATGCTATATGTAGAAACTTCTAGGAAATATAGAAATATATTACTAGAACTAATAAACAAGTTCAGGAAGGTTTCAGGAAACAAGATCAATATACAGAAATCCAGTGTATGCCTAGATATTAGATATGAGCAATCCAAAAAATAAGGAAACAGTTTATTATAGTTGCATCAAAGAAGAGTAAAATATTTAGGGATAAATTTAACAAAATAGTGCAAAANGTTGCATTTAATTTTATTATTGACATTGGCTATGATGTTATAAGAACATAAAGTAACATTTAATTTAATCTCAACTACATGTCTATCTAGTTATTTCCTACTGTGGGATAACAGAATGAAGGAGAAAATTTATCATACTTGGGAACAGAAGGGATTGAATTAAGATTACCATGAGACTTTACATCTTGAATCCTGAGCGAGCATGCTCACCTCACATTTACAGTGTTCATTACTGAAATATGGTTGTTAATCAACAAAGTTCTAAATGAATAAGTTAGAAATCCAAGTCTGTAATGGGTAGAGTAGGTTGTTCATGTGGGTTGTTTTTAAAGCATGCCATTTTGTAAAGCAAAAAAAAAAAAGGTACAATGTTCCCTTTTTGTGTGTTAGGATCATGAAAAAAAACACACAGAATTTTAGAGGTTCAAGTGGCAATTCCTTTAGATTGTAGAAACTGAGAGAGGCAGCTGTGTTCAAGGTTATACAACTGTGCAACTAGTGACAGAGCTCAAACCATAGGCCAGGTGTCTCCATTCCGTTTCTCTTTGCACTCTATCAGATGACGTACTTACCTGAGGAAAAAACTCCAGATTTAACAAATCTGTTTATGGTTGCAATTTTTTTTCGTTCAAGCTTTGTTTTTCCAGACCACCAAACATTAAATTGTGTGTGTGTGTATGTGTGTGTCTGTCTGTCTGTGTATGTTTTGTAGAAAAGTTTTAGAAATTAGAAAGATTTCAGGAAGGAAAAACATTTAATTCATTGTAGATTGTTGATAGGAAAATAATCAGTTTTGTATATGATCCATCTCACATCTAACTTCCAATTTGGGGAAGTCCCTTGAAATCATCAATAAAGTTATGAGAGGAATCGTGAGTAGGCCTAATGATGTCATAAGAAATAGAACACATGAGATTGTAACTGTGGCCAGGATGGCTTTTCTTACATGATAATCTGGTGGATCCTTGATTACTGGCATGGCCACACCCCTGCTGATGGCAGAAAAAGCTAGTTAAAGCCTTCAAGCCCCTGGTTTTAGGCCTCTTCTGTACACCATGGGGCTGTGTTGTGACTAGCAGTAATCTCCATGGAGGCGTCACGTGCAGTTATCTGCTTCCTCATGGCGTTTCCTCTGCATGGCTTATTGCTATTTGGATAGCAAAGCAAGGTCAAGCTGTATTTTTGGTATTACACCAAGTTCAAGGCTTCATTCTCACCAGTTTTTGATGGTGAACCAGTCATTTTAGTCTAGCCTAGCTCAAATAGAGAGCCGCAAACTCAGACTCGCGTCAGGTTAATTAAGCTTCGCATCTACCTAAGAGAGATAATCATATCCCCACCCCATCTTTGTTACAGCAATATAGTATACATGTTACAGCAATATAGTATACTAAGAGAGTCCTCAAATCTGAGTGATATGTGAGGAATTCTAAAACTTAATTCCTTCCAAGAGACTATGCATAACCTATAGGGACATGCATAACAGTAACGATGGGGAAACTGGTTTTCTAGGTTTCACAATAGTGTGGCCTTGTTATTTCACAGGCTGTGATTTCCTAGTCAGAGATACAGCAATATTCAAATATGTGCACACATCTGCATTCCCAAGACTAACATAGAAGCTCTTTGAATCATTCGCCAAATACGCTATAAGTGTGCCTCAAGGGTCTCCTTTCTAAACATGCTCTATACTTCATTAATAATGATAAAAATATCCCTATCACTCAGATTCTGAATGTCACACTATGTTCTGTATCCTAATCTAAAACAACTTTATCAACATTGTGACAAATGTAATTATGGTACACATGCTATCTTTCAAAGTATGTATAAAAATACGTTTCAATAGATCATGCTCTTCATAAGTTACATAAATGTCTAATCACTATGTGGTACACCTGAAACTAATATAATAGTGTATGTCAACTATAGTTGAAAAATAAAACGATTATTTTTAAAAAGATCATGTGCTTAGTATTTTAGCAGTGGGGTTGGTTTGCATTAAGTCAGAATTTGTTTAAATAGGACTATTGTATTTGTATAGGTATGTTACTGACTTTATAGCTTGGCATCTTACAGAGATAATGACACATTTTGGTGGATTTGAAATTCTACCAAATTCAAATTTCCACCAAATTTGCCAGGTAGGAAAGGGAGAAATTGCATATAAGTTTTATGGCTGTTTGTGAATACACCATTTTCTTTTTTGTCGAAAATATGAAGAAAACTTGTTAGGTAGAGATGCTTTTAGATTTCTCATGCTTTCAGTAGCAAAAATACAAATTATGCTGAAAAAGTCCTTTTATACAGACATTTCCAAGGCAAAATTCTGAGCAAATTACCTTTTTCATGGTTGGCTGAGAAAAAAAGACATTATGTGTCATAAACCTGTTTTTTCCATGTATACAAATTATTCATGATGCTTAGTAAAAGTAACATTTCTGAGAAATTTTGTAATGAAGATTATTCCACATTCTAAAATTTTCAATTGCATTACACAGTGAGAAAACATGTATTAAAATCTCTTCTGATTCCCCTGCATAACTTATACATATTACACCATTCATTTACATTTTTGAAATACATAATAATGTATTTGTTTTCAGGATTACAGCTCTACTTGGTTCAAAATGCAGTTTTCTGGACCAAAATACTGTCCTTTTATGCTCCATAGGGTGGCAGATTACTGTTGCATTGAAGCTTTTATTTATAAGATACGTACTACACAAGGGCGTTAGAAATAGCTTGGCAATAAAGGGAGCTCTGTGGTGGAAGCGAAGGGGCAACAGTGGATAAAATGTGCAAAAGGCTGCTTGTTTGGAAATCAAATTTAATTTAAAAGAGCTTTCAATCACTAGTTAATATAACTGCTTTAAATTTACAGACAGTGGGAGTAGCTCACCGTTACCCAAGTATGCTTCATCTCCCAAACCAAACAACAGCTACATGTTCAAACGGGAACCCCCAGAGGGATGTGAGCGAGTGAAGGTCTTTGAGGAGATGGCGTAAGTAATGTCTTTTCTGTCAGCTGGGATCCACGAAGCTGCAAAGCTTTTTTACCAAGACCAGTTGATTACAGATGAATCAACGACTCCATCCAGCTGATAATGGGTTTCAGAATGCTGAAAAGAGAATTGAATAGGGCAAAAGAGATCTTACGAGAGGAGAACCGGAGTCTGTATACTGGGAAAATGTGAGCTAATACAAACACACCTTGGAAATTCATCCTCACTGGCTAAAAGACCTATTTTTAATCAGGAAGACATTCCCCTTCCAAGGCCCGATGAACACAGATGGCTAAGACCATGACATGTAGCGGCACAGTTCACGTCTGCGTGTAGCTGGCCTGATGTCAGCGACCCCGCAGCCAGGGGGAAACCAGCCTCCTTCCCATAGACACATCCAGCATGTGTATTTGTTGAATTTGGACTTTCTGTTCACAGATTTTTTTTTCTTTTTGAAATTTCAATATGTATACATTAGAAATTAAAGGATAAGAGGGTCATGCTGTAAATACTTGGCGGAGTAGCGCGCGCACACACACACAAAGACCATGTGGCTCCTGGGCTCACTCACCCCTTGACCCCAGGGTGGGTGCCTAGTGGAGGCCGCTGTCCTCCTGCCGCCTAGATGGGGACAGAGTGCGCCCTGCAGAAGCTGGGAACCAGGGGAGAGGAAGGGCTTGTGGGCCCTGCTCTGTCGGGCTGACTGGCTCTTCAAGAAACGACTGAAATTTTTTTTTTTCTTATCTGTGTTAGTAGAAGTATATATATAGAGATGCAGAAAAAGGAGGAAATGCTTAAAATCAAATATATAATGGGGGAATCCCTCTCCCAATATAATTTTTCTTCACGCAAAAGGTCATTCTAGCCTTGCATAATCTTCAGCCGTAATGTAAAACATGTTTCCACATTCCCAGATGATTGAAATCAAACTAATGACCTCTGAAAAAATGTGCCCAGTCCTTTTGAAAGTCCCGTGGTCTCAGATATCACTTCAGTGCTGTGTACCTCAGTAGTCTGCCAGCTGACTTGTGCTATGGAAGATGTTTACCCCTGTGTGTACACTGAACTCATTCCCTGCCATTCACATTTTAGCTGTTTTAGAGAACTCCACTTGACTTAGAAACTGCTTAACTTGTTTAGTGATTCTAAACCTCCTTTTGTTTCATGGTTTTAGGTCTCGTCAGCCTATCTCAGCCCCTCTCTTTTCATGTCCTGACAAAAACAAGGTTAATTTCATCCCAACCGGATCAGCTTTCTGTCCTGTGAAACTTCTAGGCCCTCTCTTACCTGCCTCCGACCTGATGCTCAAGAACGCGCCCAACTCGGGCCAGAGCTCCGCCCTGGCCACGCTGACCGTGGAGCAGCTCTCCGCCCGGGTTTCCTTTACGTCGCTCTCCGATGACACCAGCATGGCTGGCTCCACGGAGGCCTCTGTCCCGCAGCCATCCCAGCAGCCGCAGCCACAGCTCCTGCAGGAACTGCAGGGCGAAGACCACATCTCGGCTCAGAGCTATGTGATCATCTGAAGCAGAGGGGAGCCGGCCTCTCCCCTGCGTTTCGCAGGCTGGGAACTAGCCCTCAGACACCCATCTGCATGGAGTGACAGACTTTCCGAACACCGCCACCGACAACAGACTACTTATCAGCATCATCAAGTATCTCTTAACTGACCTTGGCAGGGACGGAACTCCTATTCAGCAGTTTTTGTGGAAGGCAGCAATGCTTGCAAAACGTGCGTGTCATTCAGCATTTTAAGTGGAGACTATGCATTTCATAGTATGTTTGACAGATGAGTACTGTGTCCTGTGTTTTGTTCCAAATTCTTCAGTAAAATAAGCTCTATTGTCAAAATGTTGCCTGTCTCAGTAGAAAATGTCTTGCTGTGTTTTGTCCTATGGAAAATACTGTACTTCAGGATTATGTTTACAATCGATCCAGGTGTTTGTCTCTAACTTCCGTACTACATACAATGCAAAAAATGAAATCAAATCAATGGCCACAGCAGTTGCACAGTGCCCGCCCTATGGCCTAGCTTCAGGTACTTCAGGTGAAGTCTAAACTCAGGTAACTTGAAATGTATACCATACCGGGATATTAAACATTTCACAGCTCAAAAGCTAAAGAGGGAACATCGCTCTTTTGCCTTTCCTTATTTTATGCATTTCCCTTTCCTCATCACATTCCACATTCTTAGAATAAGAAGTGCATTCAGCCCTTGGAGAATGATAATCCTGGACATGGGGGAACGTGAGAAAAACCAGCAAATCTGTGGTGTCTGACATCATTTTTGTCATGTGGTTTCAAGTAAAACAACTGTTGCATTCACTATTTCAACACTTGTAAACATGGCTTTTTTTTTTTAACAAGTTCAGGTGTTGCTCAGTTAATGACTGTTCAGTGTCATAACTAAAGTGTCCAGTACTAGACTGTACACAAACATTCCACGTTGTGTGTGATGGAATGTAAAGACAAGAATGTCTAGGTTGAAATTCAGAACCAGTGAAGTTTCACAGGGGATGGCTGAGATTTGTGTGTTGATGTAGGCCATCAAGGTCGTGAAATGCTACTGTGTGATCTAAAGTCATAGTAACGGTTAGTTTCTCTTTTAGACATTTTTTAACTTGCAGGTTTGAAAATGACACACTTTTGGTTATTGCTTTCCTCAAGCAGTTTAGGTGCATGAGTCGCATTCACGTAGAGAGAGACTATATGAGTCTCAGAATCCATGCAATATAAATAAGTAAGTAGGTTATTTGGTGACTTACAAAAACAGTAGTTGAATGCTGTCTCATATAAGCCTCTCGTAATACTATGAATAGTGCTGTTAATATTTTGGATGTGCAACGTAGAGCATAAACCCAAGTAAATAGCTTTGAACTTGCAGACTTGACCTAACATCTCAACAGACTGTGAAGAGAGTCCTAGATACTCCTGATTGGCCAGTGGAAAAGCCTGCCTTTCAGACATTGGTCCCGCAGCACAGAGTATCCAAAAGCAAAGGGAAGTTTTTGTATTTTTATCCCATTGTTTTCAGTTCAATAAAACAGAGTTGTTTCCATCTGCACCTAAAGTGTAGGGCACAATTTTCTTAAGAATTGAGGGAACGAGGTGCCTACAGCTACAGGAACGTTTCAGTTCCCTTCAGTCATTCCTGGGGTTTTTTGTTTTTTTTTTTAATTTTCTAAGGAGGTTGAAGAAGGAAGAGGTGATAAAGATGAAAGCAACACCATTGATTGTTATTTTTAAGAAATGGCATGTGTGTGCGCGCGTGTGTGTCTGTGTATGTGTATGTGTATTCTATGTATGATTTTGTCATCCCAATTATCTTGTTCCCACCAAAGTGTGCAGTAATATTCTCTCCTGAAGTTGCAGTCTGGCTCCTTTTCATTAGTCAGTGTTACATTGTAGGAGACTGTCATGGAAAAAGACTCAGTTTACTTTTGCCATTTTCACAGGGGAACCTTTTAAAACAATCTCTTCAGCAGCAGACACCTTTAACCCTAATAATCTCAGGCCTTGCTGAAAATACTATATTTTGTAGGTTATGGTTAAAGGGAGAAAATTATTCTGTAAGATAAATATGAGCTCCATTAACTTCTGATATCGGACTTAGCATTACACGATGTGTTTGATCTTATGCTCTGCTTTTGTCCAAATAAGATGCAATAGTATCGATATCAATTTCTGAAAGATGGACCGAATATGCTTTTTTGGTGACAAAATCTGATGTACAATATTTATGGTGACATGTGCTTTTTTATTTGCTCATGAGAAACTGAATATTAATTGTGTTGTACATTTGTTCTTAGAATATATTAAAGTTTTGAACCAAATGTGTTAAAAGCTTATGCTTTGCCATGTAAATTTCCCAGAAGTTGTTGAGCTCAAATGTATCCTACACCCAGCTGTAGAAATTTGTCAGAAATTGTTTAAATTTTGTATATAGTGGTACTGTTGAATTCTAGCCACTGCGCTGAACAGTATTCGAGACACCATACAATATGGCTTTACACAAGGAAATGTGTGGCTTTCGTTTTGTATTTTTTTCAGTATAGAAGTTCCTGTGTCTTATTTAAATAAAGTTATTAGTAAAACTGGAATAGTTGGCATGTTTTTGGAAAGACTGGGTGGTTTTCCTCTTATGTGACAGAAATGAATGCAGCTCCAGGTAATGGCTGTATTCAGTGCTCACTGAGCTCCTGACCTGCATCTCGGGGGCGGTAGGGAGTCAGATGGGATCAGATTTCCACAGCTTGGTTTCCTCTTGACATTTAATTTACACACTTTCCATCACGAGGTAAGAAGCTAGATGTCTAAAGTTCCCAGGCCTTTGTACTGCTCCCAAATATGAGCACCTTGAAAAGAGAAAACATTGTCCCCGTGTCATTATTTTATACCTAAGAATTATTTGTGGAAATAAGTTTGGTGAAATCACCTCAGAGGAAGTTGCATATTTCTTGCAATGAAAGCTACAGCAAAAAATATATATATTTTATTTTTCACCCTTTTTATGTTTATATTCAGAGTAAGAGAGAGAAAAGCTTTACAGGACAAAGGAGTGTTGACGTTATGCCCAGCTATCCAAATAGGGTCATGATGGGCCACATAGTGTCCTGAAAGCAAAAACAAACCACTTGGAGAAATAATTTACCAGCAGAGTGTCCATTTCCGAAGCACTTCTCATCAAAGATTGATAAGATTTGACCTTAAATCAAACTTTAAAGTGACTAGTGTCTGTGTTTTGGGCTGTAAAAAGGAAAATATAACTTTTTAATGGTGCGCTCTATCGAGCATCTTCTTGAGAATGGTACATAATTTAGGCAGGAAAGTTAAAAATCCTATGCCAAGTGAACATGAAGGAAAAGTGGAATTCTCAGCCCCATCTCTGCTTGGCACAATCACATAATAAGCTTGATATAAACAGCCCTGAGAGGCAAGTCAGTATATTAGTGCATATTTGCAAAATCCAACCTAAGGAACAAGGAGGGGACATTAGGTCTAAGAACTTACATGTGTTCAACCTTACGCTAGCGAGAAAGTCACTTGAAGTTGACGTATGAATATTGCTAAGTGAGTGTTTATCACCATGCTCTACCCCTCAGTGTGAGACCCCTTCTAGAAGTTCCATTATCCCCCACATGCCCCTACTGCTCTCTATGACCACCGTCTACCTTCTATCCCGTCTTTGGCGCTCACAAGTCTTGTTTTGCCCTGGACATCTACCCCTTTGGTGAACTCGGGTCTTTGGAGCTGTATGACAGTGGGCCCCTTAACTCACATGGAGTCCATCTGAATGCTGTAGGTTAGCCCCACACTTCCAGTTGTAAAGAGCATCTCGTCTCAGACGTGTCGCCTCACCTCAATTCCAGTGATTACATGGAATGAACCCTGTCTTGTCCCGTTGTACGAAATCAGCTCTCCTTTTCACACTCCTATTCCGATTCCCCGGAAGACAAAGACTGAAATTCTGTGTCCTGAAGTTTTCTCCCCCTAAACCTCTCAGATTCGCCTTTCTCCCTATTATCTCACCACCAAATGTCAAGCTACAGAGACATGATGCTGGAGATCAGACAGCCATGCCAGGTGAATGGCAAGGAAACTAAACTGAGTATGCTAGACTTCCAATACCCCCGAGCTGTAGACCAGGGGTCAACCAACTACTGCACACATGGCCCAAATCTACCCCTTGCCTGTTTTTGTAAATAAAATTTTACTGGAAAAAAGGCACACTCATTCACTTAGGTAATGGTTCAATTTCGGGGGGGGGGAAGAAATGGGGGAGTCAAAAATTATATGCACATACTTGACCCACCTAACCTCCACATGGGTCAAGGATCAGCTGTGTTGCCTACGGCTATTTGTACAATGGCAGAGTTAAGTAGTTCCTTACAACAGTCTGGCCCACAGTGCTTAAGATGTTTACTGACTGATCATTTACAGAAAACATTTGCTGACCTCTGCGCTACAGCAAAGAGCAAACTAGATAGAAGTAACTTGTATCTTGCATGTGGTTCTTTTTAAAATATGTTTACAAATTCTTGGATACTCCTCCCTTCAAGAGGCAGGTCTTAATTCTTCTCCCCTTACATGTGGGCTGGACTTGCTTATGAAGAATAGAAGACCACAGAAGTGATGGGTTGTCACAAGATTAGGTCATAAAAAGACAGCCTTCTGTCTTGGGGTGTGCACTTTCTTGGGTCACTTGCTATAGGGGAAGCTCTATTATGAAGATACTTAGGAAGATTATAGAGAGACACACATGACGAGTAATGGAGTCCTCTGGCCACCAGCTGGCAAGGAAGTGACGCACCCTGCCAGCAACCATGTGAGTGAGCTTAAGCAGTCCTCCAGCCCCCATTGAGACTTGAGATGACTGCAACCTCATGAGAGACCTCAAGCCAAACCCAGCTGAACCACCTCTGGGTCCCTGACCCCCAGAAACTGTGTGAGGTAATCAGTGTTTGTTGTTTTAAGGTGCCAAGTTTTGGGGTACTTTGTTACATGGGGTTAGAAAACTAATACAATACAGCACTTGCCCTCCATGCCACCCCCCCCCACCCCCACACACACACAGACATACATGTACCCATTACTGCCACCAACATCACCTAGAGTTGTTATATCATTCTGTACTCTGGGTCCATAAAATGAGGCTTGCCTTTGTAGAATGGACACACTTCTTGAGGAAAGCCCTTTTGGACTAGGTCCAAGACAAAGTTTCTCATGCAAAATTTTCTTATTCAAACAATTCACATGATATTAAGTCTCCTGTATTTACCTAAAAGTTGTCTAACACTAAACCATCTTACCCAAGACAATCCAGTGGGGGTGGGGGAGGTGGGAATTAAACCCTTGCAGAAAAGAATGCCAGAAGGGATGGGATCGGTGATCAGTTTTTTAAAACTGGAAAAGAAGAAAAAGCAGAATCTCAGGAAAATGAGAAATGTCTCCACCTTGAATGTCTTTGTTTTGTTTTGTTTTGTTTTCCTTTAGTTAACAGGAGGCTGGTGACCCCCTTGTTCTAAAATGGCTTATTCCATTCCATAGACATCTGTACCTTTCAAAGAGGAGAGGAAAAATAAATTTTTCAAAGGTTCCAGATCAGTTTGATGATGCCCCCCCCCTCATTCAAAACAGCCATTTTCTTAACACTAAGAATTTGAACAATAAGGTCATTTTTCCTCCAAAAGATTTTCTGATAACAAGGAATGGGTTCCCTTTCACACTACAAATTCTACTCAAGCCTTGGCATCAGTTTTAAGTGTGACTTTGATGGCATTCCTTTCGCCAGAATTGGGTATGACCCTGCAGGCACTGGATGTTATTTCAAACCACTGTCTGGAAGCAACCTGGATAAAAGGTGGATGGAGGGCTCCACAAGGACCTGCCAAATGGGGAGAAGGGTTCATGTTGGAAAGGCAAACCTTTTCTCAGGTTTTCTATTCCACTTTGTAAAGGAAAAGGGTTATCCTCAAGGGACAGAAGTTAACAAAGGACACTGCTCATGTGCTTCAACAAACAGCCTGCCATTTTTCATATGGACTGAAATCAAGGCAAACAGGGTAATCTTAACTCATTCTTCAGTCATCTGCCCGTTTGATTACAGACAAACACTTGGTGTGGTCTCTCCTGCTTCCTTTCCTAATGACCACCCTGGGAGCCTTGTATGAAGAACCTATTCCTTTTTGAATCCCTGACCCCTTCTCCCTATGGCTCCCCTACACCTATGAGCATTGCAGCAGGTCCTGCGGGAAGGAAATAAAGAGGTAAGAGAAGGAGGCTCAGTATGGTTACAACTGGGGAATAGGGTCTGTGGGTGGGGAGAGGTGCCGCGGCAAGCTTTCACAATGTGTATATGCCTTTTTGAAATACTAGGTGTTTTTCTTAACAATGAGCATGTACGAAGGTCAGACAGTTATGTTCGCGAATGCATCCTAGAAAAACTGCTACACACCTCATTGCTGAATATCACTATGGTCACTTTCGAAGTACTCCCCTCGGGAAGCTATGCACCGAGGCCAGCGCCTAGTTCACCCTTCAAAGCAATTTTGAAACTCTTTCTGGAATGGCCTTCAGAGCTGTCGTATTACCCTGGATGTCATCGAAGTGTCTTCTTTTCAATATTTCCTTTATCTTCAGGTATAGAAAGAAGTCATTGGGGGCCAGATCAGGGGAGTAGGGAGGGTGTTCCAATATAGTTATTTGTTTACTGGCTAAAAACTCCCTCACAGACTGTGCCGTGTGAGCTGGTGCATTGTCGTGATGCAAGAGCCATGAATTGTTGGTGAGAAGTTCAGGTCGTCTAACTTTTTCACGCAGCCTTTTCAGGATTTCTAAATAGTAAACTTGGTTAATTGTTTGTCCAGTTGGTACAAATTCATAATGAATAATCCCTCTGATATCAAAAAAAAGGTCAGCAACAGCGTTACAACAAGTTCGCAAACTTAATTGTCAGAGCTCGTATTCCTTTTGTAACGTTTTGTAAAAGAAGACAAGGAAGCACTATGACCTTCATTCTGCAGACTTGTTGGCAGTCCCCTTCCCTCTGCCTTCACCACCTTCTTAACCATCCATCCATCATCCAGTTTGCAGCACCAAGTGGATATGACTGCATTACATATCCCTAATATAAAGACAAGGTGAAAATCAAGGAAAGTAATTCACAGGAAAATAAATGTTTAACATCGCTAGTCATCAAAACAATGCAAATTAAGGTAATTTGTTGCCTTTAAAATGGCAAAAATTAAAAAGAAGGATAATATTCAGTGCTAAAGAAGTGGTCATTCCCATATCTTCTATAAGAAGAATAAATGATACATCCTTTCTGAACCAGAATCTGGCAGCTCTTATACCAAGTGGCAAAAAGCAGATCACAACAGTGATCCCTTGTATTTATTTAAAAAAAGAAAAAAGAAAAAAAATTTATATATATATATATATATATACATACATACATATATATATGTATATATACATATATACATATATATGTATATATATACATATATATACATATATACACACACACACACACACACACATATATATATATATATATGTAAAAAAAGACATGATGTACAAAAACTAATAGTGGTTACAC